GGGAGGGAGGGAGGGAGGGAGGGAGGGAAAGTAAAAGTGATTTAAAGTGAAAGAGATAAGTGCAAGTGAGTAAGTGAAAGGGATGAGTAAAAGTGATGAGTTGGTGTGAGTTGAGTGTAAACTGTATATAAGTATATTAAGTGATTGTGTGTGAAGTAAAAGTAAGAACCCCACAGAAAGATGTCATATTGTTAAGAAAAATACTGGTGAAAAAAAAACAATTAATAAAGAAAACTTCTCAAATTGCTTCAGAAAACAAGATGGAAGTGGCCCTTGCCTCGCTTCGGAGCCGTAGATTCTCCTGCTCAGCATGCTCGGCACAGCGCTGCTCCTCCTGCAACTCCGCCTGGAAAGGAATTAGCTACAATTCAGCCAAGTGCTTGGATACACCTGGTCTGGCCTGCAATTCTTGACATTTTCCACTTGCAGTTTCTGCCGTCTCTGAGTGTCTGAGGCTCGCTGCCCGCAGCCGCGCACACTCACGGCGATCGTGCTTGGCAGCCTCGGCTGCTGCCAGCTGAGCGCGCTCCAGCGGCTCGCACTCTGCTGCCACGCGTCTTAGGCTTTCCCGTAGCTCCTCAAGCTGTGGTATAAGACTTGTAAGAGGATTCTTGGGCAGAAGTAATCGCACGTGGCAAGGCACTCCAGATTGTAAGGGTGGTCAAATTACAACAGTATCGGCATCGGTGACAAACAGGTGAGGGCAACACCACTGGGAGACAAAAAAGAAGACGAGCAAGGAACCATGTCATGACAGCCACCTAGTGACCTAGTGGGGGGACAAGTGGGAACACAAACAAGGCATCATGCCTTGACAGCTCCGTAGTGGGGCGACAAGTCAGTGGGAAGACAAGAAAGGAAAAATTGTTGTGGCAAAGTCTATTTCCATTGAAATCGAAGCTCCCAGTGACAAGCACCTGTAGCAGCGTTGACTTTCTTGACATGCGCAATCATCGCGCCTCGCAGTCTCTTTGGACCTCTCGCTGTCGGGTTGCTCTCTGCACATCTGCCTTAAAGAAGAAGCAAAATGGCACGCGCTAGTTTCATCTGCCCTCTGCAAGACATTCACGTTGTGCTTGTTCTCTAATGCCCGCCTGCTGCTCCTGCAAACGACGTTGGGCCTCCTTCAGTTCCTCCTCCAGCCGTGAGCAGCGGCCCTTCTCCGAATTAATTCGCTGCTCCAGGATGTGGCAATCTTCCTGAGCAACCAGAAAATGCTTGCTTTGCCTCCTGACGTCCCTTGCAACTGTGGCTCCAGTTGCTGTTCAGATTTGTAAAACGGTCCTGGCGTTGCTTCGCATCCCGCGCCATAGCGGCGGCCAGCGAAGCAGGGGCAGGGGTGGCAGGTGGCGTGGTTCTGACCTGCAAAAGGAAGCATATCTCCACATGTCTCCACAGATTTCAAGGTTGCGAAATTCTGCACGATACGGAAGGCTTCTGTGGCCTCTGGGGGCTCATGCACGGCCTAAGTAGGGCCAATTTGTTAGAGAACTGAAATCCAACATCGTTCAACAGCCTCTCAGCCTCTCAGCCTCTCAGAACCAAACACAAGGAGGAGCGCCAGGCAAAGTGGGCGCCGATGGAGTGAGCCCATCACTGGCCTTTTCCATTAAATGGGAAGCTTTTGTAAGGAAGCAAAACGAGATAGAAAAAGAAGAAAGAAAGGTAAGGGCCCCTTTCAAAAGGTCCACTTTAAAGAGACCTTATGAAAAGGGCCGAAAAGGGCCATTAGCTTCTTATTTAAATGCTGTCCAACTTTCAATGAAATCGAATTTCAAACCCTTCAAGTTAAACGTCCAAAGCCTCGACATGAAATTTGATGGCTCCACCCTTCCGGGTCGGCTTTGCCAAAGAGATCTTCAGGGAAAGCACAAAGCGCTTGCTGCGCTTGCTTGATTTGTTTTTCAATTTTCAGCACATTTAGTATGTCAACGACTCTCAGAATTTCATGGAACAAGCAGAGTCAAGCCTGCCTCATCGCCAATGCTTATGTGTTGGGTCTTTCCCCTCCTAAGCTCGTGCCCTAAAATATAACATTCCCTTGAACAAACCAACAAACAAAATCATCTGAATGTGCACCCCTGGGAGAGTGCTAAGATGTCCGCCCAACCTTCTTTCCATTTATGAAAGTCCTGCTGATGTAACAGTTACATAGTAAGTCCAGTGCTAGTGAAGGCAACTAAACTGCAGAAAGCACAGGTTTAAAACATCGGCTGTCCCATTCCCACTAAGATCTTCAAGCAGGAGCGAACTTCCAGCACTGTCAACCTGGAAATACGTTCCACATCGTTTCAACACAATGAGAATAAAACGATGAAAAGGTCCAGGGCTGCGACACACTTCAAGCGACAGTGTTCCCCGCTGACATAGGCATAGGACTGACAAGTGCTAATCGAAGTTTGAGCAAATATCATCGCTCTCAAAACTCTGCAACTCAACCGAAACTGCGATACTGCAATTCTATCACAGCAATGCTGCTGTCAATGCCACAAACAATAAACAGCTTTGCCGCACTTGCCCACGGGTGTGGAGCCTCTGGCAAGACCAGCTGGCAACATGCCTTGCGCCCAATTGAGAAGTTCCCTGAATCGGGCAACCTGTCGGTGGCTTTGCTGTGCTTACAAAGCGCAGCAAGAAGAAAACACGGCAATAGTAATAATAAAGGGTAAGGCAAGGCCCCCTTTCTACCTTCCTTGTTTCGTCTCTCTTTCTTCTTTCTCTTTTTGGGGGTTCTTGTCTAGCAAGCTCAACTATTGATTGATTCACAAATCCGAAATATACCCCGTATGGGCCTGCATACTTCAGGATGAGATGAGGTTGTTTTTGTCGCCCCTAAAGTCGTTAAGATTTGCGGCTTCGGTGTCACTATCTGCAAATATACAAAATATATATATAATACTACATGCTGTGCAACATGAATCCAATACCTCATCTTCCTCTTGTGGCTTGGTGGAGAGCAATGTTGAAATTCACTAATCGTTGGTTGAAATCAGTGCATGAATCATGTCAAGGTGATCTGAATCGGGCAATCTCCTGGCACATCTCCACACACTGGGCATGAGATTCCTTGCAACATGTACCAATACTTCCAAGCCACTGCCATGGTCCGCCAACACCAGCCTGGGGTGTGCAGGTCTTGGAGCTCTGGCTTTGGACACGTTCGACAAATCTGGAATCGAAGGAATGAAAGGAATAACTTTGGAATTTGAATGATCAAAACTCCATGCCTGCAAGGTCCGCAATTGTGCTCCTGGCATGCCCTAGCGAAAGGCTCCGACTTTTAGAGTGTTGTCTGCTGGGCTTGAGGTGCATTTGACACTTATAACTTATAACTACCTCTCTCGCTTTGCTTTGAAAGAACAAATGCTTGCGTAAGGCAGGGTCCTTTACGTTTCTTCATTAGTTGCTGCCGGAAAAAAAAGGAATCCACCTGATGTTCAAAAGGGTTGATGATTCAACTGCAAGTAAGTAACCAGTTAGCTGTGGTGCCAGCAATTTGATAGCGTTTTCACAAAAGACATCTGTATGCAGGCTGTGCGTCAGCTTTTTCTCTTTCTCAATGATTGCTTGAGCATAAACGTCGCAAATTGTCCTCCACATCACTCATTCCAAATCTCCAGCTTCGCAATCCCCAGGCAACATTCATGAGTTCCCCCAAATTCATCACCTTCCACGCCTCTGAGCGCATCTGACTCCGATCATCGCATTTTAGGTTGCAGCGGCATTGGACGTCTCCAACGTCTTCTAAATATCCTAAATCTGTGAAACTGGAGCTGACGGGCTGAGATGGCCTCGCGTGGCAAGAGGGAAGTTTAAAAACCAGGGCACGCTGGGATCAATGAAAACCTATCTGCTGGATTTCCATTCGATCACCTGTTGGGTTCAGAAGTTGCCTTTGTGGTGCACTAGATGAACCGTTATCGTCAGTGAGTCAATGCACCTTCAAATGTCAGCAAAATTGATCTCCTCTTGCACCTGCCAGAGCGACCAAAGCAAAATCGTATGACAGCATCTTTGAGCCAGTGGTGGCCTTGGATATGTCCACATCGGAGTCGCCTGAATCTTCCTGCATCCAGGAACCAAGAGTTGCTTGTTCGAGATCAAACCAGAACACAGAAGCCTACAGTATTTAAAACAAAAAACATAACTGTTTCTCCTTTTCTACAGGAGCCTAAGTAAGTGCTGTGTGCTCATGCCACTCCGCAAAGTACCGTGCTCTCAAAATTCTAAATATTCCTGAGGTCCGGTGCCTTGACCTTCCCCGCAGGTGCCCTGACCAAGTCGCAAAGTGCAAAGGCTTAGCGCAACCGCGCAGCCTCTTTCCGTCTTTTGGTGCTGTTTCGTACTAGTCCACTCAATAACAAAGGCAGTTGAAGCCTCAGAAGATCTGGTTCGCACGCTAGAAACACCCCAGGGAAGTTGTTCCTTTGTGCACAAAAAAGTTCAAAAGCTGGAAGCCCACTCTGGTTTACACAGGGAATTACAGCAAAAGAAAACTACAGTGCTGTTGTTTCAATCTTGACATGCAAACTGAAGGCTTACTCCTTGAACACTACCAAATGCCACTCTGGCCTCGAAATCTCCGCACTGGAAGACTTGCCTTAAAAGAAAGGGGAGAGCTCGATCAGGCAAAGGTGTTGCAATTCTGTGTCTTCTTGTGAATGTCAGATCTGCCCTCCATCCTCGAAATCATGCTTGAATCCAAGCTGTCCACTTTTAGGGGCCTTGGCAGCAGAAAACAGACCATCAAATGCATCTTATTTGACACTTCAAAATGATGCTTCAAAGTTAGTATCTAATGCGCAAGCACAAATTGTTCTCACATCGGGAGTGCAAGTGCCTTGTCCTTCCGAGATCGCTCTCTGCCTGAGATTGGCTCACATACAAACATGGGTGACGAGTCGCGAGAGCGACGCATCGCGAAACGCAAATATGAAGCTTGGCCACAATTAGCAATCACATGTATTCCTTGTATTCCTTGGCCTCCCAGCCTTGCGAGCCAGATTTTGACCTATCCAATAATCCACTTCAGAATCAGGGTCGTACAAAGGAACTCGAGTTCGTTTGTGTCCAAACAAACCAAAAATCGTTGATCAAGTCGTAAGCGAAGAGCTGGTGGCTGATTTTCCTCATCATTTCTCCCAGAAGCTTGAGGTGGGGAAGCATGACTTTTTTCCTGTGCATTGAAACATCAGCTGGTCTACTGAACGCCATTTTTATGGCGTCCTTCCGACCACTCTGGCATCCCCATATCTTCGCGAAAATCCACAAGACTTTGTGGCCATAGATTGGACACGAAAATGGCAGAACCCCGTCGCTCCACCCCGCAGGCAAGGCCCACGAAGCCATGGAGCCATTTGTTTGTGAGCCTGCTGAAGCCCTGAAGTTCTGAAGACACCTTCTCTCCCAACCAAGCTAAGGCCTTTGACCATTCGCAGGCTCAGAATGGACTATCTGCCCCTCGAATTGGCACTCAAACGGGAGGGTCCGAGTGCTGGTATTTCGTACTTTCTACATGTAGGACCTGCCAGCACAAGCAGCTCCTTTTCGGACTCGATGGTCTTCCTGTATTCTATTCTGAGACAGCTCGCCAGCTCACAAATCCAAATTGTAAAGTAACTTGTAATGAATCTTTTGTTGTGGTAGTGTGACCGTGTGTGACTCACTTCATGAAGTCTAAATCCTAAATCACACAATTGACCTTCGACCATCCGTACCCAAGTCCTGGCATGGCCCAACGAGAAACAAAACGTTGAGGCGCCAGGCTGATTCCATTTGGCAGCACAAGAATGTGCGAGCCACCAGCTAATTGAAACCTATTGCTACTCTTAAGCTTGGTTCAAATGAGCACATCTAAGAATTGTCTTGAGTCCTTTACATCAGTCGCAGGTTCTTGCAATTTGCAACTTTTGCAACGTCCATTCTGAACCAAGGGAACACGCTCGCAAGAAACTCACCAGCACACTGTCGGCTTCTCAAGAGTTGTATCTAACATAGGCTTTGCACATCCTTATTCTGAAAATACTCGGCCAAAACATGCACCAATTTGAAGGAGAAACTGATGAACTCCGCTAAGCAGCAAGGCGCCGTAGTCAAGAAGTAGGCCTGCAACACTGCTGACAATTATGACTCACGTGCTAAGCGTTCAGCGATAGTGCCAAGGATTCACACTTGTCAAGCCTCTACTACTGTACTTTCCTTGGAGGGAGCCTCAACCTTCTGCTCTCTTGCGCATCATCTGCAAGCGACGCCTTGTGGTAGAAATAGTTTGAATCTGTGCAGGGAAAAACCATTGCATGAAGGGCGGAAGATCTATCGTGGTTTCTTTATTCAAAACAACATGCTGGTCAGAAAGAAACAGCTGCAAAGCATTTGCAGTTTATTTGCGGGATTAAGGCGTTCTTTGCAGCTTGGAATTCGCTAAGGTGTTGGCCCTTCATTTGCCTTGGTACGCCCAACCTTAGCATCTACGCCATTGACTCTCCTTTGACTTCATCTTCACAGGGGCATTCAAAGGTTTAAAAAAATCCAAACTCAATACTCGCACCTCCATAGCCTGCAGTTGTTCCTCAATTGTGCCCTGCAAAGAACCGGCGGTGGAAAGGTGCATTCAGAGCCCGCCCATTGAAGTGCAAAAGCCAAGTTCGAATCTATCTGAGGCACTTTTGAAGAATCCTTAAAACAAAAAACCGTGGAGAAAGGGTAAAGAAAAGGTGTGCCGCAAAGGTGCATAAAAGGGCTTCAAAAAGTTCGAAAAGGGGTAGGGCAGAGAGTAGAGCAAGTGAGGACCCACTTCTTTTATGGTTGCATTAATAAGGTTCGTGGCTTAATCAGTTAAAAGGACAGAAAGTGTTTTCCAAAAAGCTTATGTGTTACAAAAATCTTGTATGTTTTTTTCGGAATTATTTGTCATGTTACATAGAATAGTGTCGAATTGTCGACGTGTCCACACGCATGTGTTTTCTTGAAAAAAGTTTCTGTGTCGACTGTCGACAATGGCTATTCCTTTTTGTGAATGTCACTCCATGACATGCTCAAACCAAGGTTGCTGGACTGAGGAAAGCTCTCGACGACCGCTGGCACGTGGCTCCTTGTTTCCACCCCTGACCTCCTAAGATGGGAGGGCGACGTCACGACGCTCGAGCCATGCCTACGTTGGTGTGAAAAGACCGCACCAAACCGGAAAACGCGAGACGACACTTCGTGAGGTTGTTTCTTGGATTGGTTGCAGTTTGTTGCTACCTTCAAATTGGTAGCGGAGCCCCGACCAGGGGCTCCCTACCGTGCTGCCAGTTGACAGTTGGTTGTTGATTTGAGAGTTGGTTGAGGTACATTGCTCTTGCACCCTGTACGTTGCACACTGGCCTTTGCTTGTTGCCCATTGTACATTGTACATTGAGCAAGTCGACGTTGAACATTGGACATTGCACCCTGGTCGCTGACCGTTGTTCATTGAGCAAGTTGACATTGAGCATTGGACATTGCACCTTGATCGTTGATCGTCGTACATTGAGCATTGCTACACGTTGCGCAGATGGCTTCGACATCGAGCACAGCTGGTGACACCACCAAGGATTCATGGGCGCCGACCTTCAGCAATCGGCCTCAGGACTACAGAGAGTGGAGGGCTCGCATCCACCTGTACTACAAGAAGATGCAACTGCAGAAGAAACCTGTTGAAGGAATCATCAACATCCTCACCACCATGACCGGCACCGCATGGAAGCAGTTGGAACCCCAAGCTGACGCATTGAGTGAGGACAAGGAAGGTTTCTCAAAGTTGATAGCAGTTTTGGACAGGACGTTCAAATACGATGACCGTGTTGAGCAACCAAGGGCCTTCGAGAAGTTTTTCTATAGCCTCTCAAGAAGGCCGGATCAGACATTGATGTCGTATTGCGCTGATCATCGTGAAGCACTGCGGGAGGTCCAGAAACACAACATCTCCCTGCCGGCGGAAGTGACTGGTTGGCTCCTCCTTCGGAGGAGTGGGTTGTCTCAGGAGCAGAAGCAATTGGTACAATCACAGTGTGGAGCAACATTGGGGGAAACAAAAGTTGAAGAAGCTATGTACTTTTTGTTTGGCCAAGATTTTCGTGGCCGCTCCACCTATGACCATCGTGGCAAGCCCTACAATGCACCTCGCTCAGCTGGAAAGAATGCCTACAAGTGGCAGAAGAAGGGCTCCCAAGCGGCATACGCCGCCACCGATGATGATCCCGACCTTCAGGACTATGAAGAGTTCTATGAAGTTGATGAGGCTGACGCCTACTTTGGTGATTGGCCGGATGATCCTGAAGAGGTCAACTATGAGGAGGATGAGCTGGAAGAAGTTCTCCATCAGGAGGACGATATGCCTGATGTTGATGACCCCGAATGGGAAGAGGCGTATGCATCATACCTTGATGCCCGCCGGAGGTTTGCCGAACTCAAGACCAACCGTGGCTACTATCCAGTTGTGGCCCTAGCAGACCCCAGCCCATCCAGCTCAGCCCAATCCCAACGCCCCTATCCTCCAAAGGGGAAGGGATCCAAGAGCTCCAAAGGCAAAAGCACCTCCAGGTCAGTCTGCAGTAGGGAACCTGAGGAAAAACAAGTGTATATATATATATATAGATATAAACTTGGAATGCGCACCCACAACCAAAACAGTGAGAAGAACAGAGCAACAGAAAGGCCGTGAGATGACATGGTATTGCTGTGCTTTTTTGCGTATATACTCGTTCGATGGCAAACAAGGGCCTTTGTCGAAAGGGACGACTGCGCTCCAGTCTGAAGTTCACCTATGGCCTTCCGCAGGTCAAAGGCAGAAGACCACGACACTGCTGTGTTTGCAAAGGCCTTCCTCAATGCGTGAGTGTGCTGGTGAAAGCCGTCGTTCGGCTGTCCACAAGCACCGAAGCCGCCTGGCACTTGGACCTCCTCGCTGTCTCCTGTGATGAGGACCTTTGTCAGGGTGTTTCCGAAGATAACATCTGCCGAGCTGCTACCAATATTCCCGGATTTGCAACAAGGGTGAGATTGCGGCATTCTAAGTTTGGTTCTGTCAATGTAAAATTACACAAAGAAGGCAAAAAGAGGTACTCTGCAAAGGCACAGCGTTGCGCTGTCGCATCCACTCCTTCTTGATGCTTGGAAACTTCAAAGATGAGTGTTGTGAAGCGGAATCGCAAATTATCAGCGCAGCATCCTCAATGGTCAGACTCAGGGCCCTGCGGCGCGCGCGGAGCTCACCACCCAGTAAGTCCAGGTATGAGACAAATGTCTCGCACGTCCACATGTGTGAACGCCGCTACCTCCAGATATTCGGATAGCTCCTTCGGTAGGTTTGGGGATGCCTGGAGTGCAGACGGATTTGGCACATCTATCATCTATCTATATATGTATATATATATATACATTTTATTACAAGCAGCAAAAGTGCGGAAATATATTCTATGTTCGGCTCTTGCAAACCTAAAACAAACTGTTCTCGTTGCCATTTCTCCTCGTTCAAGGTGTGCCGTTGCCTGTCCGACAAGTGCTCCTCATGGAATGTCACCCATCCTCTTCCCAGGGCGCCGTCACGCCAGGACAGCGTGGTGAGCGTGTGAGGCACGCGAAAGCCCTCGACAGGGCTGTGCGCCACAGCGCCGCCTTTTGCCAGCTCACGGGGCCCCTTCCGTTCAGCTGACTCGTCCTCTACCAATGACTCTGTTAAGGGTAGGCCCAGTGACAATTCCAACCGATGCCTCACCTGCCTGAGTGTCTTCTGCTTGGCAACTGGATCCTTCGGGTTGAGCGTGCTGCTGCGGGGCCGGAAATTCAAACTCCAAACCTGATCAAAGTTTGCTATGAGGCGGTTGTGAAACCGCTTCTTGGCCACCTCGAATGCTACCCAATCTCGCAAATGCCGCATAGCGGGATGATCATATATATGGCAAACGCTTGCCTGGTCGCAGGTTCGCAACCAATGAGAGCCCGCATCTCCGCGCCAATCTCGAAGCTGTTCTCCTTGAATGGCAAAACACATGTGGGTGACCTGTGACCAGCTCCCTGCACCGATAAAGAAATGCAACAATGGAAGCACTCCTTCACCTTGCCAGCTCTATATAAATATATATATATATATATAAGCTGTGTCTACTTGATCTTGCTCACCGCCCAATCCTTTTCAAAAACCTCCTTATAACTTAGATAGTGACTTAGATAGTGGCTGTGAGGCAACGTATAAATATACACAGGCTTTGCTCGGACCAAAAGATAGAATGCCTACCGTATAGCAGAATCACATATATATATATATAAGAGACGATTCACCAAGCGGCAGGAAAGATGTAGATGTCGTATTCACTTGGATGTCTCGAAGCGATTCCTGCCTTTCCTGGAGCTGGCATAGCAATTTCTGTGCGTCATCCTCAGAGGCAGCACCTTCCCGCTCCAGAATTTGCAGGGCGTGTTGTGGGTCAGCCAGCTTAGCACGCAAATGCTGCATGGTCTCATTCCAAAGTTCAATGCCCAACTCGAGGGTTCCTGCCACATAGGAGTCATCCACCTGTTCCCCAAAAGGGTGACGCCAAGTCAAGGGGCAAGGCCGCCCTATCCTCCAGTTCGTTCAACAAGAACACCTGTCTCCGATGTGGACAGCCAGGTATTTCGCAGCTCAGTGCCCGCAGAAGCGTACCACCCCCAGCAACAGCGCATCACCCACTTCGAAGAAGGCCAAGGGTGAGCACAACGCCCTCATGGTGAACTTCGCAATGAAGGACGCCTCAAGCATGCCAAACGGCATCCATGGCACCATTGATGGCGGCGCAAGCTGTATGGTGGTAGGCCATGACAACCTTATGCAGTACATCGAGCACTTCAGCCAGCACCACATTGGACCAGATGATTTCCAGTTCCGCCCGACAGTGAAGACTCTCCAGTTCGGCGGTGATCGATCCTTGGATTCCCAGTGGACCGTTCACTTGCCCATTTGTGTCAACGGCATCCTGGGTCGAGCACAGACCTTCATCGTCCCAGGCAGCACACCGCTGCTGATCGGTCGCCCGATCTTGAAGGCGATTGGCATCCAGCTCAACTTCATGGAGGACACGATGAAAGTGCGAGATGGTTCATGGCAGGCCATCATCATGGGCCCTCGCAACGAACACCTGTTGCGATTGGATGATGGGCTTGAACGTTTGACAAGCACCAAGGACTATCAGTTCGACTACATGCTGGAGGAGACCTACCAGCAGTTGTCACTTGAGCCACACGCAAGCACCACAGAGCCATACACCCTGTGGCACTACCTTGAGCTCACAGGCCGGCGCCTTGAGCCACCACAGCTCACACACGAACAAGCCATGAACACACAAGATGATGACAACAACACGGACGACAACAGCACCTCCAATCCTGAGGACATGGATGAAGATGATGATGACACCCTGCACCGACGTGCACTCACGGACAAACTCGTCCGGAGTTTCCGTGTGCACCAACAACATTTAGCACAACAGCACAAGGCCACCATCGAGGCCGCGCTCCAAGCACATGCGGAACATCGCATGCAGTTCTGGGAGATCTATGCAGGAGACGCTAACCTGGCCACAG